TTAAAAACAATTTATGTTACAAAAAAGAGAGAGTACATTATAGGGTTTGAGAAAGTGAACCCCACCCTGAGTTTATCGGCAGACAAAATGTAAGTTACACCCTGAAAAAAAAAAAAAAAAAAAAAACTCACAACAAAAGTGGAAGAAAGGGGTGTCCCAATCTTGGCAAGTTGATCAGCATACATATTGTTCTCTTTAACAATGTGTTGCCGTTGAGCTTGAGCAAAATGACTCAAAAGTTCTCTGCTATCTAAGATCAAAGTACTTAATGAATGGGAACCAAAAAATCGGCAGACAGTAATTGAATGGCACAAAAAAAGTCACTCAATGATAATCTTTGAAAACACCCTAGCAACAGCCAGTTAGAAGCCATCCTATATGGCCTAATGCCCAACGCTTAAGCTATTGATAATGCCTATATGCCTAGCATACCCCATAATCCAATTGCCACTACGATCCCTAAAGATCCCTCTCGCAACAGCTGGTCTAGGTATGCCTAAAGCAGCACTATCAATATTAAGCTTAATAATATTTGGAAGAGTTTTATCCCAGCAAAACATGACATGTTGCCTATTAGATTTCTTAGACTAAATAGGAAGAACCAATCAAAATTCAATAGTTTTATATCAATAATAAAAGGAAACCATTTAGAATCTTGCAAATTAGAAGCCCTACAACTCGTCATTCCTCTATAACCAAACTCCCCAAATAGCAAATGAAAACAAAGTAGCCCAAGAAATTTTGAAAATACAGGGATCATCCACGCATTTAGACCTTGCTCTTACCCAACTAATAAAACAAACAGTAGAATGCTTAGGTAATCACACCAGGGATGATTTTGTTCTAAATGGTTGAGTGAGTATGAACATGTTAATCGTTAAAATAGATAGTTTTTCAAGTTTTAAAGCAAGGAATTTCTCTAGTATAAAAGTTAAGTTTCTCAAATAATTAAGAAGCTTCTTCCAATTAAAATCTCAAATTGAAACCTAACTAGCAGCATATTAAGAAGTGCCATCACTAAATTGGAATTGATTTAAAACTTATTAAAAATCTAACAAAATTAATCTAGACTATTAATTTGATATTACACAAATAAGAAAAAAATATTATTCTAAGAGGAAGCAAGACCAAAAATCTAAAAGTAATCAATAACCAAACATAATATCAATTAGTATAAAACAACTCATAAAGTAGCATAAGAGCATCCTATGGAATGGGTTTTTTAATTAAGACTGCAAATAGACAGTCCAGGTGAACCCTTTGCAGATCCATCTGCATTGACTTAATAAATTCTGACGGTGGAGGTTTCCATCCAATTAACTCTTTATGTTTCAAACTGGTTCTTTGCTTCCTCAAATAATAAGCAACCTCTACTAAGCGAGATTTTAGAAGAGAATCTGTTGTGGAATACCGCATGTAATTTCCATCAAAAACAGTCTTATTCCACCCTATCCATATATACCAACAAATGACAGCAAAGGCAACATTCCATTCTAATTCCAGCTCCTTGATCTTCAATGGACATGTTATGCTTTGATGGATCATTCACTACAGTCCATCGATTGCCATTGGTTCCATTGGTAGTCTCTTAACTAGCTAGCGTCTCCATACTGCTTCTGATGTAGGGCAGTCACGTACGGACAAGTGGAGCACGGTTTCTGGCCCCTTGTTGCAGTGTGGGCAAACTCACTTCATGCAAGGCCTCTCAAAACTCTAGCACAATTGGTAAGAACCCCCTAATGAGCTATTAACCACAACAACGTCTTAGATTTTGGAGGGGCTCTCAGCTTCCAAAGTTTGTTCCTAGCCACTGTCAAAGGAAAATTTTCAGAATTAATAAGCAACTCAACGGCACTCATTGTAGCAAAATTACCAGTGCTATTGTGTTTCCATATAATCTCATCAACCGCTTGAGAGTACGTCCTCATCTAGGTATGTTATCTCCACATAGAGTAATATTACTTACAGGGAGAAACTACCTCAAGTTATCCAAGCTCCATCCATTACTGCTCCAATAGTCCGCTACCAAAATTTCCAAGTCCTCGGCATGTATATTTTTGGTTACGTGGCACTGCAGACCATGCAGTGGTTTCTCTTTTAGCCAACCATCCACAAATTTATAATGCAACTTATACTCTCTTTGCGCCAAAAATCTTTATATATTCTTTGCTTAAAATTTTTCTAAAATTAGTTGCTCGTTTTTAATTCTTTTAAATGAGGCAAATATTTTTTTTCCTTCTTTAATCTTATTATTATTCATTAACTTTATACTTGTCATTATTTTTTAATTTTAATTTTTCATTTATCATAACTCAAATTTTTATCAAAAAAAAAAATATGTTTAAATAATACAATGAATAAATTAAAAAATTAAAAATTTCCTTTAAATTATTTTAATGTAATTTATTTTCATATTCAAGGCTTTATCATAAAAATGAAAGATGTTCGGGTTGGAATTTTGAAGCAAAATGGCAAAATCGGACTTATGTGTAGAATTTCGGCAAATGGGCGACTAAATGGCAAACGGCAAGAGGAAATGGATCAAATAGCACAAAACTCATAAAGTTTGGTGGATTTTGGGATAAAGCTCGTAAAACAATTGATCCAACGGTGTTCAAGAGCTTACAAAGTAAACCCAAATTCTCTAAAAGCCCACCATATGCCAACAAGAAAGCCCGCTTTTAAGTTCTAGCCACCTCCACAAACCTGGTCCAAAAAGTCAGCCCAGGCAACTCGACATCGGCCCACCAAACCTGGCCTAATCCTCTTTGAAAAATCCTATTGACCCCATTCAGTTTCCTCTGACAAAAAAAAAAGAAGTAACACTGTTAGACGAAAATTAGGGCTGGTAAATTTAGATAAATGATGTGATATAAATTTTATTATTATATATTAAGTGATATATATTATCATAATCAATAATAGAGTTAATTTTTTAATATTTTAAAGAGTAGTGATATAAAAATAATTTTTTATGTAATTTTTAGATATCATTAAATAATAATGTAATTAATATAAAAAATTTTAAATAAATAAGAAGAGAATAACACATAAAATTATATTAAAAATAATAAAAAATATTATCTTTAAATTATTTTCTTATCTTAAGTAACATAACTTATACATCATAAATTTTATTATATCATTATCTCAAATTATATTCTCAAAATTTTCTTACCTTCTATGGTTATATTATCCCAAAATAACAGCAAGAAGCAAATGGCCTCCACCGGCACCGAGTCCCTTCCTTGGTCGGTCTCTCTGGTGCTCCTTTTCCAA